AACCACAGTTAAATTCACTCTATCTAGGAGGCTCAGTTTATATGGATAGTTTTTATTTTTTACAACAACAAGCTGCAATGAAAACAAGCAGAAATGAARTAAAAGTAACGACTTTTTACTTCTTGTCTTTTTTATAAATGTAAGAAGTAGAAAGGCGGCTGAAAAATAATTACTCAAGTAAAGTACAGATACACAAAAATTCTACTTAACTACATTAAAGAAGTATTTGTACTTAGTTACTTTACAACTCTGCAAGTAGCCACCATTCTTTMAGACTTGATGTTGGTACTCACCCTGAGGGCGGTAACAGGACTGGACGTTGCAGCGCTCCATGGTTGGGGGTTTAGGGTGGGGGGTACACTGGTCCACAGGGTACAGGTTCCTCTCCTGGTCGGAGCAGATCACCTGGCGCTCCCGTGAGCCAGAGCCACAGCTCTGAGAGCACTGCAGGGAGGTGCGGTCAGGTTAGCACCAGGTGACAGGTTATTTAATACAAGGTACAGATGGAGAACTGCTGAGTCGTGAAGAACTCACCAGCCCCCACTCCYCCACGTGCCACTGGATCTGTTGGGGACAGGCAGACGTCTCACACGGCTGCACTGCAGGAGGACGAAGCAAAGTCCTGCAGGATATTTCCTCCAGCTTCAACCCGGCTGATCCCACACAGGTCACCTCTCGAGTCTGTTCACCTGAGCCACAAGTCACCGAGCACTGCAGGTACACACATCACACACTGCAGATACACATCACACACTGCAGATACACATCACACAACTTCATGCAACAACCAGGCCTTTAGATCCAAAACAAGATGAAGAAAGTTTTTATGGTTGGGACATTTCAAGTCAGTGACAAGAGAGAAACTTATGATGGAGTATTAGTGCCACACAACCAGGTTATTTTATAGATTTTATTATGAGAATAAAGTCACAATATTACGAGATTAAAGTCTAAATATTTCAAGAAAAAAGTCATAATCTGGCTGCACTTTTGCAGAGTAGTTTTTTAAGCGTATGCTCATGTGTTTTCTGTATAAAACACAGAACCAAAGCTCTTTTTTTAACTCATCCTTCCTAGTGTGTGTGCATTCTAAACTGCAAAGGCAGTGCACCATAGTGCGAATGACCGGGGACATTCATTCCCCCATGTTTGTGATGTGTGTGTGTTTCTCCGGACGGATGTTCTAAACTGCAAATTTCGTTCTGCATTGCATCTTGATGTTGTGCATGAATGACAATAAACGCTTCTGAAATAATCTAACATGATCCATTTTGCATTCCTGATTTTTTACTCAATTCCTCATCATTTTCCTCACAGCTGCTGTGGACAGCCATGTGTGTCTCTGTGTTTATAAGTCTGTGATGACTTTTGGGTCACTGTTAGCGTAACACTTCCATCAAATTACATGACAACTAAATCTGTCAGTGCAGCCATTAACTGCCAAACAGCTTCAGTTTATCAGATTGTTGTTTGCACAATTGTTTCAAAGTCCTGCTGCTGATAAATTGATGCTGATGTGTTAAAAGATTATTTCTTTTCAATTCAATTCAAAATTTATTCGTTTCATTAAAATATACTAAATACAATAA